AGGCGTCTAAAAATGCCTATAGGTGTCCGCACACAGCTTGAGATAGAGAGAAGACGACGAACATTGTTATCTGAGTCTAAGAGGATTATCTGACGCCGACAAGCGCCTGAAGCAAAACGGCGAATCAAGCTGACGCCGACAAGCGCCTGAAGCAAAACGGCGAATCAAGTGACCTGCGCGCTCGACAGTCAGCTCGCGTGCGCCAATCAGCTCGCATGTGTCAATCAACACGCGCGCGTCAATCAGTTCATGCGCGTCGATCAACACGCGCGTGACAATCAGTTCGTGGGGTCGGACTGATCCGACCCGCGCAAGTGCGGGTCGGACTGGTCCGACCCGCGCAAGCGCGGGTCAGACCAGTCATGTGCACTGTTTTGACCCCCTGATGTGTATTTTGACGGTTTTAACGGTTTTCTCGAGATCTTTTCAGTTCCAGAGGTTCCCAACTGACTTGATATCATCTACAAACGTGGTTAGGCCATTATTGACTAAAGATAAGACCAAATCACTTGTTCTCATCCAAATAGCCGCTTCCGAAGCTTATAAATACGAGCCCGGGTCCTCCTTTCAGGGGGGCGATTGATTATCAAGACGAGGAGGTGCTGCCGGATTGTGGAGTCAAAGGAGCACGAATTTCAGTGAGGGTTGACAGATCTTGGCGAGTTCTTCGGCATAAAGAAGGAGAGTTCGAGAGATCCGACGCCCGTTCCCATCCGTCCCTTGAGATCAGGCTTGGTCTTGATCTCGAGAAGAGCCCTGATTTCGCTTGGTCGATCTCAGCTCTTCAAATCAAATACTTCCTCGGCGAAGGCGAAGCTCTGCCGAATTTTTCATCAACCGGATCCAGATCAAAGGAGGTCCATGGATAAACCCCAGCACATGCAAAGATCCCACATAAGCAGAAGACCGATAAACGATCTCCCTGCGTTTGTTTGATAAAGTTGTAAACTTGTTTTATTTTCATTGTGTAAGGAGATCTTATAAAAAGATCAACTTTTTTATTTTATTCGAGTTTATTGTAATGACTAAAGTTGTAATAGATTCGATCACAATGAATACAACAATTTTCGACGCAAACAGTTGTAATCTCTCCCTCTAATAGTAAATCTCCCCCCTCCTTGCCCCGTGGACGTAGGTAATTTACCGAACCACGTAAAAATTGGTTATATCGCTTTTATGTGATTTGTAATAGCTTTTAGGATCCCTGGACAAGTCAGTCCTAGAACCGATGAGAGGAAAAGCCAATATCTCACTTTGTTGAGATATTCGCTTCAGATTCTTGTTTTCTTGGTGAGACAAGAATTCTTATTGCGATCTGATTCTCTTGTTGTGCTACCGAAGTGCTGCCAAAATTTTCGCTGCGTGCAACAAGTGGTATCAGAGCCTAGATTTCAAATCTAGGGTTTTGGAGTTTGGTGGAGGAAGATTTTTTGTGTGAAGCTTGGTTCTTAGAGTTCTAGGCTTCGGTGGAGATAGTATTAGGAGTTGCCGTTGGAGATTTCACTTTCCTCGTATGGATAGGAGATCTATTTGGAATCCGATCTAGGGTTCAGTTGGGTGGTTCCTAATTTCTATCAAATTTGTTCTTTCTCTATAATTTGGAGTTAGTTTGTAATGGGAGAAGAAGGTGAAAGCAGCAAATCGATGGCGAGTACAATACAAGTTAATTTTCAGAACACTAAGATTAGTGTGGTGAAGTATGATGGTAAAATTAACTTTGGTTTGTGGATGAGCGACGTACAGGATGCGCTCAATGCTCAGAATTTGGAAGAGACCATCATGTCCACGAGAAGCCACCTAAATATGATGAGGCGATATGAGAGAAGATGAATATGAACGCTTGTGGGGTGATCAGGTCCTGTTTGGAACAAGAACTGAAATATGATGTGATTGGGGTGACGTCTGCAATGAAGATGTAGAAAATTCTCAACAATAAGTATCTCACAAAGAGTGTTGAGAACAGGTTGCACTTGCTGCAAAGACTCTTCAGATTTCAGATGTCTAGAGGCACCTCACTAGCTGCTCAAGTGAACAACTACACTAAGTTATTGTCGGACTTGGCGAATGTTGATGAGAAGATATCGGATGAGTACAAGGTGATTATTTTGTTGGACTCCTTACCGGATGAGGAGTATGATACCTTCGTGCTCATTTTGTTGAGCGGGAGATCTTCTATCAGCTATAGTGAAGTGACTAACGCATTGACCAATTATGATTTGAGGAGGAAGGAATCAGCTATAGTGAAGTGACTAACGCATTGACCAATTATGATTTGAGGAGGAAGGACAAGGAGACTTCCCGTGCTAGCACTTCAGGCGAGGCCTTGGCTAGCACTTCAGGCGAGGCCTTGTCAACGAGAGGTAGAAGCCCATATCCGAAAGGTGGTAATAGAGGAAGGTCAAAGTCTAGAGGCCACCATCAATTAGTAAAGAACCAATGTGCATTCTGCAAGGAGCAGAGACATTGGAAGAGAGACTGCCCAAAGCTCAAGGAAAAGGAGAATGACAAGAAAAAGGGCCCGAAGGCCAATGAGGTGAACGTTGCGAAAGGCAATGATTCAGATGATTCGTGATTTTCTTTATTGATTACTCCGGAGGTGAACCATATGGATGCATCAGATTAGATGCTTAATTCCGGCGCTACTTATCATGTGACCCCTAGGCAAGACTGGTTTGTATCTTTTGAGAAAGTCAACGAGGGTGTTGTTGTCATGGGAAATGATCAATCATGTGGCGTTTGTGGGATAGGTACCGTGCGGATTAGGATACACGATGGAGTAGTCCGTGAATTGAAAGAGGTGAGATTCATTCCTCAGCTGAAGAAGAATCTTATCTCAGTTGGAGCTTTGGAGGTGAAGGGATTCAATGTGATTTTCGAAAACACTGTAACGAAGGTTACTAAGGGATCATTGGTGGTGATGAAGGGAGTCCGCAATCGAAATTTGTATTATCTGAAGGGAAACACCGAGATTGGCCAGGTTGCTTCGGCTATTTCAGAAGCGGACATGAGCAGACTTTGGCACTATAGGTTGGGGCACACAGGAGAAAAGTCACTGTAGACTTTGTGCAAGCAGGGACTATTGAAAGGAGCCAAGAGTGGAAAAGTGGAATTCTGTGAGCACTATGTTCTTGGCAAGAAGACAAAGGTGAAGTTCGGGACTACCATTCATCAGACGAGGGGCATCCTAGACTACGTGCACACAGACATTTGGGGTCCCACCAAGACTGCATCACTTGGTGGTCGATATTGGTTCGTCACGTTTGTTGATGACTATTCTAGGTATTGTTGGGTGTACACCATGAAGCATAAGAATGAAGTCCTAGATTTGTTTGTAGAGTGAAAGAAGAGATTGGAACTGCAGACGGGGAGAAAGATCAAGACGTTGCGATCCGACAACGGTGGTGAGTATACTTCTGACCCCTTTCAGCAGCTATGTTGAGACGAGGGCATAGAGAGACACTTCACGGTTAGTCATACATCGCAGCAAAATGGGGTGGCAGAGAGATTGAATCGGTCTTTACTAGAGAAAATCCGATGCTTATTGTCACAGAGTGGTTTGGAGAAGATCTTTTGGGCTGAGGCACTTACATATGCGAGCCACCTCATTAATAGGTTGCCTTCATCTGCGATTGAGAGGAAAACCCCTATGGAGATATGGTCGGGAGAGCTAGCACGAGATTATGACCAGCTCAAGGTATTCGGGTGCTCTGCATTTTATCATGTAAGAACTGATAAGTTGGAACCTCGAGCTAGGAATGCCATATTTGTAGGATTCAAGCGTGGTGTCAATGGATACAAGCTTTGGGATCTAGTTGATAAGTGTAGGCATATAAAATTGCTTATAGGTCCCTTTTGCTCAGCTCGGCACGAACCGACAAACCAACGA